TTTTTTTTTTTTAGAACAAACCAACCTTTCATTAAACTTGTAGACAAAGTTTTATGGGTGTGAAAAAGTCAGAAGAGCAGGGGATGATGCCGATTTGATGGTTCCATTACACCTAAACCATTTTGCCTGGGAACCTTCCTGTTATGAATGGAAGACTGTAACAGAGAAATGCAATTTTCCATGTTTTTTTCCATTCATTATTGTAATAAATATTTTAAATAAAAATTAATTTTTAGAAACAGTATTTGCCTACAGTGAACTTGTTTTAAGTAAACGAATAGGGAAGTAGTGGGTGGCAGGTATATGGCAATTGTGGGTAGATAGAGATGAGACTGCTTGTTGTGATTGTAACTGGACAATTTTGTATCAATAGACCTTGTCCATTTTCCCCAAATCAAGTGACCTAGTGGATTTTGTTCTATATTTCCCAAAGTCCTTAAATTGAGGGTTTACTGTACCTGTCTACTAGTCAGAGGTTGAAGTAAAATTTTACAAATTGAAACTCACAACACCATTAATAATTCAAAGCAAGATTCACCAGTGTTGAAAAATTTGAAGCTGTCTGAAGAAACTCTCAAATTACTGCATAAGTAATATACTAGTGGTGAATGGTCTACAATATAGTACATATAAAACTCGACCAGAAGGCATAATGCATGTCACTAAGTGCATGAACTTTTTGTCTGTAGTAATAGTACAACATTTGAAAATTTGAAGGTAACTTGAATGAGGTGTTCTTAATCCATTGAGAAGAGAAAAAAGAATCCTGACAACCACACTATGGTACCCTTTAGACACCAAAATAATAAACAGGGAAGACTTGGTAAACAAATACATATTTACATTAAAGTACAGTAGATCATTCAGTAATATATCTTTATGTATTGACCAGAATTGATTTATACCTTTGCATTGACAAGGCAATATGTGATTGTAGATTGATGAACTCATTTGTCATTGTTTGATAAGCTAGATAAAGTAGCCTTAACCCTTTGAATGTTTTGGTCGTACTAAGTACGTTTTACTAAAATACGCGAAGGGGTTTTTATTTGACGTACAGAACTCACAAATTTCTAGCGGCCTCAAATCTATGGGAGAAAGCTGGTAGGCTTCTATGAAAAAAGGTTCTATGTGTCAGTGTTGCACACTCTAAAAAAAATCCTGCAGCTCACAGTTGCATAATGAGAAACAAAAAAACCTTGACCATTTTTTTTTTTAATAAATCAGCGACTTTGCAGTGTATTTTTTCGTATGGTATTTATTGTTGTCTTCTATTTTCCTTGGTCCATTTATAGATGGAGACATATTACAGAAAGTAGAGATGATTTTGACTGGTTTTACAATGAAAGGTGCCTTGTAATTGAGTCAAAGTACAGAAATGTTCGATTATTACCAAACTTTCAAAAAGTAAACAAATCGTGCCAAGCGTGCAATACACTCAACTGGTGAGTCTAATATTCTTTTACAAGTGCAAGCCAATAAAATTATATACCATTTTTTAACACTAAATGCAGTAGTCTGCATAACAGTAAATCTTATATTTTTTGGGAGAATAAAAATTCAAAGTGGAAAGCCAAAGACATATAAGAGGGGCCTGGTATGTGACTAACAAACAGAGAACTTATTTTAGTGCCAGGAATGTCTGTCTTGTTTATTCTGGACCCTATTTGGAAATTGGCATCTTTTGAAATTTGTGTGAAATTGGCAAAATTGCTAAATTCTGATCACTTTATTGGATAGTTGTAATCGGTAAATGGGTGGTTTTTATACTCATTCGATAGAAAAAAACTGAGTTCTAGCAAAATAGTTAAGATTTTTGTTGACTAGTACACTGGAATTGGCTGAAAACAGGGCTCAAAGTGGGCAAAATCGCCGATGTGTCAACATCGTCGAGACCGTTAACTTCGCGAGAGCATAATTCCGTAAGTTTTCCATCAAATTTCATACTTTTGGTGTCATTATGATTGGGAAAAGATTATCTATCTTTTCATAAGAAAAAAATTTTTTTTTTTTTAAATTTGGGGACCCTGAGAATAAGTCGCAGAGAGGGCCTGGGGACCCTGAAAAGGTTAATGTAGGGCAGAAGGTGAGTAGCATTTACTATAAGAAGTTAGATGTGGTAGCCCTCCTGGCCACCCCCACCCACACACGATATACTACGACGATGCTTAAATAGAGTGATAAAATGCATATACAGTACACTCATTACTTACCTTAAGATATTTGTAGTCTCACTGTAGGGTGAGAGGTGAAAAGTATTTATTTGTAGAAAGTGGTGGTAGGTAGGGTAGTGTAGGGGAGCCACCCTGGCTACCCCCACCCACTATGTAAACAAACAGACGATGGGTCTGGTTGTGGTTCATAAACATTCATACAAACACCTTACATTGTGTACAAGTTGTCTCCACAGTGGTACAGTAGAATAAATAAAGACCAACACTTCCATTCTCATGTAATTTTTAGAAGGAATGATGCTTTGAAAAATTATTACAAGTTGTTACAAGTTGTTGTTACAAGTTGTTGTTACAAGTTGTTGTTACAAGTTGTTGTTACAAGTTGTTGTTACAAGTTGTTGTTACAAGTTGTTGTTACAAGTTTGTTGTTACAAGTTGTTGTTACAAGTTGTTGTTACAAGTTGTTGTTACAAGTTGTTGTTACAAGTTGTTGTTACAAGTTGTTGTTACAAGTTGTTGTTACAAGTTGTTGTTACAAGTTGTTGTTACAAGTTGTTGTTACAAGTTGTTGTTACAAGTTGTTGTTACAAGTTGTTGTTACAAGTTGTTGTTACAAGTTGTTGTTACAAGTTGTTGTTACAAGTTGTTGTTACAAGTTGTTGTTACAAGTTTGTTGTTACAAGTTGTTGTTACAAGTTGTTGTTACAAGTTGTTGTTACAAGTTGTTGTTACAAGTTGTTGTTACAAGTTGTTGTTACAAGTTGTTGTAATCATAAGAAGCACTAAACCCACAAGGGTCGTGAATTGCTATATATAGAGTGAAGGCATATGAAAGGAATATTTATCTACAGTTATCCCCGTGTTTGACTAGAGAAAACGTAATTCTTCCGACACTCCTACTGAACCGCTTTGTAAACAAATCTCATATTTATGTCAATTTTATTCTGTAGGTGAATGTATAATGTTTATATGCTATGTAACGTGTTTCTTATATAATTTTGAAGAAAATATCATAGATGGATTAATGAAATGTCTTTATTAACGTAAAATAAGACATTTCATGTACCCAAGAGAGATTATTATTACATAGTATTACTATGGCGTCATGAGTAGAGACTCTAGTGATTTTAATGTGTACCCACATGCCAGCACAGTGTGTAAGTATATTTAGATACAGGTACACATAAGCATAATTATCAGAGTACGTATAAAATACGCAGTAACTTTAAAACACTTAAAATTTTGGAAAGTTTCCAGACATAATAGATGTGCTCATGAAGATGTAAACAAACCGGGTGGGGAGTGCCGTATTTGAAAGACCACTTGCCATATAGCAAAAATTGTCATAATTTGAAAGCGCCATATTAGTGGAATGCCGTAAGGCGAAACGCCGTAAAGCGGGCCCCACTGATTTATCAAAATACTATACGAGGTTT